AGGTTTTCGAGCTTTAGCATGTTAGAATCACTTGGGATGCTCACTGAAGATGGCGATTCCCAGGCTTCTCCCCTGGAGTGAGCCCCAGAATCTAGATGTCGGACCTCAGGTGATTCTAACCCATCAAGTCTGAGGAGCAACCTTGAGAAATGCAGCTTCTTGGACAAACTAGAACTTGAAGGCTGTACAGAGGAACGAAGAAAGGAGAGGGCTTTCCAGGCTCAAGAAGCATGACAAGCCCCAAAGCATGAAGCTGACACGCCAGGGACAGGGGAGTCAGTGCCCTGGTGCACAGCGGGCTCTCAGGAATCCTGATCTGACCAACCTGACAGAACTGAGGCCTCCTTTCAACAGGTGGAAACTGGGCAGGGTTAGAAAGGTAAGGTGGGTACATCCATCAATTTCACTCAAGTTTCCTACCCACATGGCTCACATCAATCAACAATTCACCGATTTCTTCAACTTATACCCACACGTTTTTCTGGAAACAAGTCTGACTTTTCCTTAAACATTTCCACCAGCAATTTTCATCTTTCTGACTCTATTAAATCTTTTCTACCCTCCTAAGAACTCATTCTCTTATCTTTGCCTATGCTGCCAGTCAACTGAAAACCTACCACCAGCCAACAAAGGAAACATAAAAAACAAAATTAAGTTTAAAAGTCCCCTACTGGGCATCTATGTAACTCAAGAGTTTAAGAAATCGCTATCTTTCAAAATCATGTTAAACTTTTAAAAAAAAGATATGCGAATTTCCAATGAGTAATCTGACCTTTCACTCGTGTCTAGAAACTTAAGTGGAAAAGTGTTCCTACTTCTAACCATTTAAAAGAATTTTTTATATTAAAAATGAATAATTTGGGCTTTTGTCTATAATATAAAGTAAAATAACTTTAGAGCTAAAAAAGACTTCAAAGAACAAGCTTTCATTTTACTGATGACAACTGTTTCACATCCTGTCTGCCCTAAAACAGACATCCCAAAAGAAAAATAATTTATATTTTATCTGAAAAGTTCCCCTCAATATTTTACATCCCTTAAAGTAGGTGACAGTAAATGGTTTTTGTGAAAACCATTGATTTTCTGTTGGCAATAAAGATTTTTCAATTAACAGATAAATAGTATTTGGTATTAAATTGGTTTAACACACAAGGAATAATATGATCAAAAATTTCACGTCCTCCTTTTAAGCTGAAGAGTTTAAGAAAGAGTAGGTAATTTACGTATCATAAAAGTCTCCAAGTAAATGAGGATCAATGATAAAGTAAATGGAATCCCCCCAAAAGAAGCAGTTCCTTTAAAATTAAGAATTTACCCACTAATGTCCTATTCTACTACAAAACTATTATGCATAAAGACTACTACGGAAAGTGAGGCCACATAAGGTATTTGCATCGATATTATCTCAGCAGAAAAGGTAATTTAGAGCTTGTAACAATGAGAAACACAAGCTCCTTTCAGGTGATTTGGAGCAGTTTTCAGAAAACTCACATTCCCATGAACCAGATGTCATGTCTGGTGAACACCGTTGCAGACTTCAGTGCTCTCGTGACTAGATGCCTTTCTGGTAGGTTAATGTCAAAAATTCTATCTTAAATGGCAACTTTAATTATGCAGAAATAGTCACAATACGCTTTTTCTTTTCACGTCGCTGAGTTAAATACTTCGATTGTGATGGTGTGGGCCAAGCATGTTGCTTTAAAGCCAGATAGACCTGGCTCAAATCTCCATTCTGCCACAGATATTTGAAAGAGTCATATACTCTTTTAGCCTTTGTTTTCTTGCACATAAAATAGAGGTGACATCAACCTCAGAGTACTATTATAAGGATTAAGCGAGATTGTATCTATGTAGAATAAAAGAAATACTGCTGGCAGAATTCCCCAAAGAGTGAAATGTCTTTTGATTAGAGAATAAAACACAGTGAAGGGTAAAGGACATTAGAAAAAAGATCAAGAATACAAAATTGCTCTGCATAATAAAAATACATAAAAAGAATCTTAAGATTTCACAAGCAGCTGAGAGGAAAACAGAGAGGGGACCCTGAGGCAGAAAAATGCTGGGGAGAGAAAGGAGAGGATGGCACAGCAAGAGGGAGCAAGGCTGTGACCCAAGAGAACTAGCCATAAGGAGTTTCCTGAGGCCAACCAGGCTTTTAATAAAACAAGGATGCCCCATATCCTATTTTAAGGTCCTCCAGCCTTGTGCTCTAATATACATCTGCCACAGTTAATGGCCCCTCCCCCAATACAAAGGAAAAGTCGGTTAGATGAAACTAGCTTTGTAAAGACACAGCTGTCTTGGGTAAAGTCTTATTAAACGTCTGCTAAATACAACTGCCTTGTGTGAAGCGGTATTTTGAGGAAATCAAGGAACGTGGGCTGTGTTCCACATTTGAACTTAGACAAGGTGATGAAAAGAGAACAGCTCTAAGAGATAAGACACCAGCAAGCTGGAGAATTCAGCAGAAACGAGAAATGATGCAAGTGGTATCTGGAAGAAAATTAAAACCCAGAGGCATTGGGGGAGGGAGATAAGAGGCAGGGTTCATTATTCTTCAATATCAGGGGCCCGTGATCCCAGCAGTCTGGAGGGCGAGGGGGAACGCTAGGCTGCTAACATCTGGTTAAACGCGCCTCCCTTGGTTGGCAGTCAGTAAATGTTAGTTCTCTTCCCTGATGAGGAACGAATAACGTATCCCATACAACTGTTTTCACGCTCCTTACAAGTATCAGGGAAAAGAGGCAAACTTTTTAAAGTGATACAAAACTAGCATGAAGTTGTACTTGACTCAAAATAGTCAACCAAAACTGCCAAAACTGGTTGATGTGGGGCGGGGGGCGGGGAGGGAGAGCCACCTTCAGGAAGGCAACTGAGCAGCTTGGGCGGGGGAGTCAGCGAGGTGAAGGCTTAGAATCAACATCTCTTTTCTGCAGAATGAATGCTCAGTTCCCTTTGAAACACTCTAGCAACAATAGGGCCTTTGCAAATAAATGACGAAGTACTATGCTACTTTGAGTTAACGAAAAAAGTTAGACATTTATGTTCAGGTGTTAGAGAAACTAAAAAGAAAGAAAGAAAGAAAAGGCTAAACGGGTTTCCTCGGTAAACAGGTGCTGCAGGATGAAGGTGCAGCCGCTCGCTTCTCCCGGGAATGCTCCGAGGGCCCTGGGGGAACCGAGACCGGGAAGTCGGAGAGGGCACGGTTCACGCAGAGGTTATTAGTGCACAGGTGCCGGCTTTCGCTCTATTTAGAATGCCAACAGAAACGTATGGTATCTCCGTTTGAAACAAATCAAGGGAGTCTTTGTCAAACTGCAATTCCCTTATTACTACCGAGAAGCAGGGCGAGTCAAGAGGCAGCAGGAAATTCACGAGGGAGCCTCCCACAGGCTTACGCGTCTTCCAGGTGCAGTCGGGTTTACACAGGGTCCACTTCTACGGAGAGTTTGACTTAAATACTCGAGCTTCCCCCCAGGGAGGGGAAACCCGACACCCAGCTTGACGGCCCCCCGCTGCGCCCCAGCCACCCAGGGCTTGCTCGAGTGGGTGTTGCAGAGCGTAAGCCTCAGCTCCTCTCCTGAACCCCGTCCCCACAGGGAGCCAGCCTACCTGCCCTCGGCTAGGCAGTCCGCTCGTTCCTACCGTGGCTCATGATTCTTGCTCCGGCTCGTCCTGTCCCGGCGGGCGAGCGCGGGGCTCCCGGGAACCGGCGCGGGGAGACGCGGGCGCCGGGGCGGCTACTTGTAAACACGCTCCACGTGCGCTCGCCCTGCCCCATTTGTAGCTCGCTCCGGGCACCTGAGGCTGCTCAACTTTCTCGCGAGCCCGCAGAGGGTGCGATTTTTATTCCCCCTGAGGATGGAGGAAGCCTCGCCCGCAGAGCCGAGCCACTGGGAGAAGGGCCAAGACAGGGTGAGCTTGTACCGCCCCCTGCTGGCCGTCGACGCATCGGCAGGCTGGAGCAGCCGGACCATTGCCAGAACCCACGCGGTGCCGAGGGACGCGGCGGCGGCCGGCCCCGCCCGCTCGCCGGAGTCCCCGCCCCCG